GAGAGTTACATGCATCGGAACTTCTTTAGCATATGTATGATGGTGTCAATAAATTTTTTATTAAGTTGCTACTATATTTCCATCTAATAAGGAACACAGCAGTACAATATAAACTCCCAACTAACAGTTTGTAATTTGGGAAGGTAAGGATCAATTTACAAAATACAAGTGGAAAGCATTGAACATCTATAGGTTATAGTGTGCCAAGCAGTACAGTAAAAGAGCCAGTAGGATAAACCACGGGAACAGACATTATTTACTAGGACCACCACTGTGCTCACTCTCCTATGCAGTGTCTTTGTTGGTGTCTCTTCCACTGTAACCTCCTATAGGACAGGGAACTCTGGTATATATCTATGTATCTTACAAGCACTAAGGAGAATAAACATACTTTGTATATTTATCTTCTAAAAGAAGCAGGATTGGCCTACTTCAGTGGTGCAGGTGGTAGCGTCTTGATCTGCAGTGCTGGAAGGCACATGACTCACAGTGAGCTCTGTCCACAGTCAACCTGAAACATAATGGGAGCCTGCACCCAGGATCCCAACTAGCTGGGGGGGTGAGGGTGGGGGATCACGGCATGGCAAGATCCTGAAGAAGATGCCCGTCTCTCTCTGTGTCTGTCTGTCTCTTTCATGTCCATACTCTATCATGAAAGAAATAAAATTAAAAAAAAGAAACATGGTTAGGCCAGCAGGAGGTTAAGGGGGGCAGGATCCCACATGGCCGACTAGTTGGTTTGAGTCCTGAACCTGGTGGCTTGAAAATCACTCTGGGCGCATGTGTGTATGTGCCCACAATCCTGAGAGGAGAATGGAGAAGGGATTGTGTCAGGACCATGCCCCCACCCCCAGGGATGGGTGATTCCTCACTAACTCTGTCTGTCTGTCTCTCTGTCCCTCACCCTCGTAAGCATAAAAGCTCTACAGCAAAGTAAAAACAAACAACCATAATTGAATTTGTAGATTTGGTAAGATAGAGCTTCCAAAAGGTCAAGGAAAAATGAAATGAAAATATGAGTTTATTATGGTGCAAAGAGAATGTTAAGATCCATGCATAGTATTTTTATAATATGCATTTCTATGAACATTTTGAAGACTTCTCATATAGGTTGTATTCATTTTTTTTTAAGAGAGAGTTTTGCGGAGACCAGCAGTTAGCGTAATGGCTATGTCGCTGGACTCCCACGTAGTCGACCATAGTTCCCGTCCCAGACCCGGTGGCTTAAAACTCATGCTGGGAGCGTGTGCGTGTGCCCAAGATCCTGAGAGGAGAATGGAGGAGAAGGGATTG